CCCCAAAACCCCAAAACCCCAAAACCCCATCTGACATAAATATAGAGAGTCAAGTTAATTTACAAAGTTAAAGTAAAAATGAATAGAAGGAATCAATCAGGCAGTCAGCATGGTTATAACATGAATATGATCTAATAACAGCAACCTAGAATGGACTAGCGATCTTAGAGTTTTGTAGGAGATCAGGAGAATTACGATATGGATCTATTTGATAATGACAGAGAATTTGCTGAGGGTAATTTGTATCCAACTGAGTTCCAAAATTATACGCAACAAGTCAAACTCAAACCTGATCACGAGAAAAGACCTATTTGGATAGCTCCAAATTTTAAACTCTACTTAGAGTCATTCTCTCCTTTGTATAAAACTGCCACTGAGTTCTTGATAGGAATAGCAGAGCCAGTTTGCAGGCCAATGTACATTCACGAATACATGATTACTAAGTATTCTCTTTATGCGGCAGTATCTGTTGGACTAACTAAGGAGAAGATCTTTGAGAGACTTGATTTCCTCTCCAAGAACGAAGATATTCCCTCTGATGTCAAGGCTTTCATCGAGCTGTACTCTAGTAGATATGGCAAAGCCAGACTTGTTCTCAAAGATTGCAAATACTTCATTGAATGCTTCGATAGAAATACGAGAAACAATCTGATGCAAATACAACAAATTGAGTAGGCCTACAGATCTTAGCTTAGGAGAAATGCAATGATAGAGTAGCGATTAAAAGAGCAGAGCGAGAGGTAGAGAGTAGAGGAAAGTGCAGAGACAAAGGCGCTGCGTGAAAGGATTACTAACTCTAATAGTTTGATTGCCTCAAGGCCAACTGCGACATCCACATCTGGAATGATGTTGAATCAGTAGTCAGTTGAGTAGCAAGAACTAACTGAGAGATTTATGAACCTGAAAGATGAATTCTAGGTTCTGATAGATCAAGAAATGGAGGATGTAGATAATGGCTAGGTAGATGGACCTGCATAAGACGGCTCATCTAGAGCACAGAGAAAGCAAGATCTCATATTTGAGATTGATCCTGAATAAATAGAGGGAGTAAAAGAAGCTTGCATCAAAGAGAACTATCCTTTGATTGAGGAGTATGATTTCAAGAGAGATAAAACACTTCCTGACCTAAAGATTGAACTCAAATCAACAACTCAAATTAGACCATATTAAGAACAAAGTTTAAGCATGATGTTTAGTAACGGCAGAGCTAGATCTGGTGTTGTAGTACTGCCTTGCGGTGCTGGTAAAACTCTGGCTGGTATTACAGCTGCTTGCACTATTAAGAAGAGCATCATGGTTTTATGCACCAGTGGGGTGTCTGTAGAGCAATGGAGATAACAATTCTTTTTGTGGGCAAACATCGGAGGAAAGGTGTGTAGGTTCACTTCAAAGACAAGAGACTAGATGTTCAACTCCTAAGCACCAGATGGGGAAGCGGGCATAGTCATATCTACTTACAATATGATTGCTTATTAAGGCAACAGAAGTAATGAGACTTCTCAGTTAATGAAAGCTATCCAAAACACTGAATGGGGACTTCTAATTCTTGATGAGGTCTAGGTCGTACCAGCAGCTATGTTTAGAAAGGTCCTAAGTATTTGTAAATCTCATTGTAAGTTGGGTCTCACAGCTACCCTTGTTAGAGAAGACGAGAAAATAGACGATCTGAATTTCCTAATTGGTCCTAAGCTTTATGAAGCTAATTGGCTTGATTTATAGTTACAGGGCTATCTAGCTAGAGTACAATGCATTGAAGTATGGTGTGAAATGACCCCAGAATTCTATAAGGAATATTTAAGCGCTAGACCCAGGCTAAAGACTAATCTCTATGTCAATAACCCAAATAAATTCTTAGCTTGCCAATATTTGATAAACTTACATGAGAGTAGAGGCGATAAGATCATTGTATTTTCAGATAATCTCTTCGCTTTAAAGATGTATGCTTAAAAACTGAAAAGACCTTACATATCTGGAGAAGTCGGCCAGTCTGAGAGAATGGGCATCTTGCATTACTTCTAGAAAACAAATGATATCAATACAATATTTCTGTCAAAAGTTGGTGATACCTCTATTGATTTGCCAGGAGCCAATGTCATCATTTAAATATCTTCTCATTTTGGAGCCAGAAGATAAGAAGCCTAAAGGCTTGGTAGAATTTTAAGACCAAAGCAAAGTGCAGAGAAGTAAGCTTACAGTAATTCAACTGAGTTTAATGCTTACTTTTACTCACTTGTGAGTACTAATACTCAAGAGATGTATTATTCTGATAAGCGTCAGTAATTCTTGATTGATTAAGGCTATTATTTTGAAGTGATTTAAGAACTGCCATTTATGTCAGGTGAAAATAACAAGGAAAAAGAGAAATTGCTAATGCAATCATTGCGTGAGCAAGTAGAATTCCTGACTTAGATATTGTAGAATGATGAAGCTAAGTTTGAAAGTCTAGAAGAAAGGGAAGAACTTTTAGAAGATGATGAGGATCAAATTGGTATAGATAGACTAAGAAAGAGAGAGCTAAATAGTTTAACTGGAGCTGATGGAATGTATGAGGAATTCTAGAGATGAAAACTTAATTAATGTATTACTAATTTTAATTTAAGTTAATACCCCAACCCTCACAAAGTTTTGTTATGGGGTTTTGGGGTTTTGGGG